AGGACCTTAAAAAATCCTAAAAGTTTAAGCTAATAAATAATAGGACCTTTATTTTATGGTAATAAAAACAATTAAAAAAAATCGACCAGGCCGGTCGCGCATTGTAATATCCCGATATTTTATCGGTATAAATTACGTTTTAATTCCGATATAATAATGTTATCGTTTATTATTTTTGGAATTAATTATGTTCAGTCGAGATTACCGAAAATTATTTTCGACGTACCGTTTACGTTCGGAATAATTTTGGTAATTAAGCATTATGTTTAATTAAGTAATTAAACATAAGTAGTGATTAATTATTGAATTAATCACACACTTAAGCCTAATAGCCGTGCCTTAAGAGATATTTTTCCCAAAATTTTAATCAAAGCCGTGAGCTTTCCTTATGCCTAAGGAGATGGTTTTCAACCAATCAAATTAAGCTACTTGTCAACCTTAGAAGGTGCTTAGTCACCATAAGTTTATTTATTGATCAACAAGTGCAAGACCTCGGTGAGGCCACATAGTACCTCCGTCACCCTCATCTCCCCTACGGCTTTGCTATAAAAGGCATGGTTGGGGACGATTTTTGCCCACTTTTCTCAAGACAAATTCATCACTTATTTCCTCCTCCAGCAGCTTTTAAGAGTTAAACAAATTTCCCTAAGTTTTCTTCCAAATCGCACGGCAAAGCTAAGTCTACGCACGGCGCACACGCAAAGTAAAGGAAGCACGCCTTATTCTCCAATTTCAGTCGAGTGTTTCGAGAGGTAATTCTCTCCTTAGTTCCTATTCATGATGATTAGGTCATTTCAGAGTTAAATGTTCGGATTATTTTCGAGAATTTTAAGTAAAATCATGTTAAAGGCCGAACATGTTTAAGTAAGATTATAACCGAACAACTTTCGATTTTTTCCGGCAACTCCCGAACGGTTGGTGTGTTAATGTTCAGTTAGGTTATTTCATGATCAATAAGTTCAGACTTGTCGAGGTAAAATGAAGTTTTGCTGAAGAAAAGGGCCCCAGCCGTCGCCAGCGCCTGTCGCGCATGGCCACGGGTAGTCTCGGCCCGAGTCTTGTCGCGTTCAGCAAATAGCATGTTCCATCCGTGTGTTTCTATTTTAAATTGCCTCAGTATAATAATCATGTTAGGTTATTCTGTTGTTGCCGTGGAAAAGAGTGTTATGGCCGAGAGACGACGTATAGCCGTTGGCGGCGCACGGCGCGCCCGCCGCGGCCCTTTCACATTCAGTACGCGTCTGTGGCGTTTTCAGGTCGTAATTGTTAGTTATATGTCATGTTGAGGCAGTTGATGTTCAGTCAGGTTAAGTGGTCGAAATAAGTTTCAGATCGGTCGAAGTATGGCCGAAGGCCGTAGGCCTCGCATATAGCGAGTGCGCCACGGCCGAGGGTTAGTGCCGGTGAGTAAGTTCAGCCAATTTACTTATAAATTCAGTTTAATGTTCATGTGAAGTCAGAACAAGTCAGAAGAAGTCATTTTGGTCGGTAAAGGTTGCCGGACGGCCGGCAAGG